CTGCTAAATTTATGGTCATACTGTGCAACATTCTAGGCATATCTCCATGGAGACAAGCAGGTGAACAACCTTTTAGCAGACAAGTTACACAGTGCATCTTTAAAAACTTTTTTTGTAGTAGAGTCCACTATTTGTTCGTGCCCATGGGGATGTAAAGAAAGCATGTTTTTCTAAGGCATTTGTCAATAGACACCTATGTAAACAAATAAATGTATGAGAGTTTTACTGTGGAACATTCCAGGCCAAGCAAAGACAAGTCCATTGAAACAAGCAGAAAAGTTACATAATGCAACTTTAACTCTTTGAACACTGCAGATAGTGTACAGGATTTGTTTCATCTGAACTATATTTGATGACTGTCTCTCAGGGGCAGAGGATTGCAGGATGTGGCCACTTTTCCAAGATAAAAGCCAGTATTTACAGCCTCGGTAATCAGACTCATTTATCCTTGTTGTCCGTAGACAACAGTAGAACTTTTGTACTGCCCCAGGCCCCGGGTTATAAGTTATTAGTAGTTCATTTCCTCCATTACGTCATACTGTATCTTAAAACATGCCAGACTCTGAAGACTTCATGCCCGACGGATATTTCATTTTCCTCTATGATGCTTGTTTACAGTTTGCTTCGATGTGATATCAGTATATAACTATTGGGGAAGTAGCAGAAGTGTTATTTTGCAGTGACAGCACGCTCGGGGTGTTCTTCATGTATCTTTATTGGTGGAATGTTTAGTAGTTACCATGGTGACACAATGCACAAATTATTAAACATAGATGAAAAAGTTTTAAGATGTCAAGAGAAACTCAAGAAAAATACAAAATAGATACAAAACTCATTTTCATGTCAACAAATAAAAAGGTGAGGGTGACTGGAAGTCTGTTGCTACCTTGTGACTGTAATTTTATGTGAGTGAGACTTGTTTAACAGCACAAATCAGATCTCCTCTTGTAATTCTAACCAAGTCCACTTTTTCTGGTCAGATTGTGTTCAAATAAAACTCAGATGAAGTCAAATTAGAGTAACAGAGCTTCAGATAGACTAGTGCTTTCAGTTAGCGTCACACCCCCAGGAAATGTTGACGACATCAGCTGCAAAGTATCACTAAGCCTTCAGTGGGTATGATTATAGATGTCACTTTGCAGACATTACCACACATGTTGATGTTTTGGCTGACTTAAACCTGTAATTCAGTTTAATGTTCCATGCACATCAGTTTCAGAAATGAATGTCTCTTACTGTGATATCACTCGCACTGACATTAGAGATGCACCAGTACAATACTGGTATCAAATATTGGCGCCAATACTGTAAAAATTGCAGGATGATCAACGTAATAAGGTATTTACTAGGGATTAATGATATCCAGATTTGAGGTTAATATAATTCTAGATAGGACACTTTTTTGCTTTTAAAATACCTTGACAAGATTTTGGTCTGAATTATTCCCACCATAATCCCAAGAATTCAAGTAAAAAACATATCTCTTCATGTTGTCTGCGCTGAAATGAATCATGGGATATGTAGTTTCCAATGTACATAAGTTGTTGCTACTATAAAACAATCCATTTAAGCAAAGGAACTTGTAATTCGATATCTTGTGACAGCCCACGATATTATTTTGAGATTTTTGACGATACAATATCACGATATTTCAGTTATTGTTACATGCCTAGTATTTACAGGTCGGCTCAGAAAGTCTCATAATGTTTAAAGTTGTTCTATAGTTGCCTGAGAGCTAACACATTTAGATCAGTTTTGTCTTATTTTATTGTTGTTTAAAGGAAATAATGCTGTTTTCAATCTCTCTCTGGTATCGGTTTATATATATGTAAGTTTTCTAGTGGAGAATTTGTCAACTGCTTTTATTATAGATGTTATTGCTTTGTCTGGAATGTTGCATGGTATGGCTTTAACCCTTCTATCTTCATGGGGACCAAACCAGATCACGTTACAGGTCAGATCTGTGGAGAGGCAACCCCGCTCACAGTCAGAATGCCTGTTTTTCTAGGTATTTTCGAGCTATAAAACCACCTGCAATTGAATAAATGTAAAGCAGAGTTGTTTAATTTCATACTGTGGAACAATCCAGATTGACAAATGACATATCCCTAGAAACAAGCAGCCAAAAAGTTACGCAGTGCATCTTTAAAGCTATAGTATCGAAAGTGGTGTCAGAACTGAAAAAGCTGATGCATTCGTACATGACACTTGGCCACAGGATGCATGCGTTGACAGTTTGTCCCCTTTTCTAAGTATGTTCTTCTGTTATATTCTGTGTGGTTGACTTGTCACACTCCAAGCAGAATTCTGTTACTGCTATGTTATGGAGTTTAGAAATGTCAATGGCTGTAGTTCTTGACGTTTTTTGTCTATTTTATTTGGATTATACAGATTTATTTGGGCCACGTTTAAAAGGCGAAAGCATGCAGCGAGTCATTTGGAGATTTGGGAGTGACTAAACAATTTAATCAGCCTTTTCACTTACAAAAATACTGTTAGCACTTCTCTGTTTACATAGTTGTAATATTTTTGAGAGCTTCTGCCACCACCACATCCCCTTTTAGCCATTTAAACGATGCACAGAGCATGTCTTTAGTCAGCCAGGAATTTGACCTAGAAATGTCAGCTAACAAGTACTGAAGATTCTCACGTTAACTTGTGTTGTTGAGATCCTATATTACTCACAATTGACTTTCTGAGATTTTAGCCATGTTAGAATGTTTTTACTTCATCAGAAACATACATGGAGTTGTGTTTTGTTTCATTCACGTGAATATGTTTGAGTAATCCTTTATTATTAGTCTACCTACACCTCCAAAGCTCAAAATGCTCTGTTCCACCTCATGATGTCGTAAGGCAATAGTTTTCAAGTTAACTGCTACTTTTTACTTTTAGTTCAACAATTCCAGAGCTGATATTATGAAATGATTCTTGAGTAAGCGTGTGCATAGTTTCAAAACACAGTGGAGGACTTCCTGTATTGCCACATGACATCACAAGGTTGAACAGAGTGTTTTCTGTTTGAGAGAAAAACACTGCCTATATTTTCAGGGTTTGCATGTGTGTGAATGAAATCAAACAAAACTGCACGTTAGGGCTGCTCGATTATGGAAAATCATTATCACGATTATTTTGGTCAATATTGAAATCACGATTAATCAAACGATTATTTTTTTAGTTACATGATGCAAAAAAAAAAAACAAAACACTTTGGCTACAAATATGGACCTTAGAACAGTTTTGGGATGTGTAAAAGATAAAATGAATAAAATATACTTTGAACATGAAATAAGGCATAGAAAAACATAAGTGTATCCAAAATAAACTATATATCCAGCGGTTCTACAATCTCTATATTAAAAAAATATATATATATACTTATTTATAAAAAATATCCCAAAATAAACTGTTAAGCTAAATAATTTCAACTCGATTATATGAGTTTGGAGATCGTTTGACACACAAATCGAAATCACAAAATTCAAAATTCAATTAATTGCACAGCCTTACTACAGGTATGTTTTCATGCTTATAACAGATCAGAAAATAGCGTAATACGGACACTTTAAACTCCTGCTGTGTCCCATGTGTGACTTTGTTTTTGTTTGAGAACCACATGTAGCTCCTTCATCATTTTAAACCACACACTTGTGAAAACTATTAGCCCAAACTTGTCGCGTGGCTGCTCCTTGACACCAATGAATCGCTGAGGAGCTTTGTACAGGTTTGATAGAAGTATTTGAAGTTTGCCTGGAGCTCCAAACCCCTTTCATAAAGCTGGTTATCAGCACCCCACAGCCTGCACACCCACTCTGTCCCTGCGCCCATACCTCCTCCAAAGTCACCCTGCACCTCGGCTGTGTACTGTGTGTAGTGTTTACAGTTTAATCTCACAAGGAGTGCCAGACAAATCCTGGTCCCAGAGGAGAGGAAGAGCCCCAATCACCTCCACTTCACAAAGGGAGAGTGAGAAAGGACTCCTGGAGTGTCCTTCCTGCTTCCTCAGGATTAAGGAATACTTTCAGACTTATATGAGTCCGGATTGAGCCTCCACTGCTCTGTCCCTATCTCAGCTATTTCCAGCGTTAATCTCACCCACACAGTCCCCCATCAAAGTTCTGCTCTTCATTGAGGAGATTTACCCCACCAGCTGAGGGAGACTCCAGCTTTTATTGACTTTTTATACACTTTGTGGATTATTAACATCATTTATATGCAAATGAATGTTACATTATGTTTTTAGTCAGAACTGAAGGGAATAAATTAGTTTAGAAAAACAGAATTGTGGAGCAGAGGGGCAGGCTTTGGAGTGGACAGACTCTCCACAGTTCAAAGTGTTTCAAATAGGACTTGTGGTTTTCAGCGTTTTCACATTTACCGTGTTGTTATCTGGACAAGTTACACTGAGCCACATGTAATAAGTCACAGAAGCCTCTTTCATTTTGATCAAATTATGCCCATGAAGCATGGAACATGGATATTTTTATGATATCTTTTATGTGTACAATAAAAAATAACTAATTAAGGTGAGGTCAGAGCAAGTTCTTGAAATGTACTGTAATATTTCTTGTGACATTTTGCAAAAGTTTCACTTGGCATTAGGAATGAAGATGGTGAACAGGTCAAAGATGAGGAAACCACACACACCTAAGTCTCTGTATAGGCAGGGTAAAAGCTGCCTATACAAAAAAACATACATAAAAACTTTAAAATGCTGATATTTTCCATATTTTCTCTACTATCTGTCATAATCAAGGCCGTGTCATTAAATTTAATAACTCAACAAACAGAAAACCATACAATACACCTTATCAAACCTGAATATAATGTAACATTCATTTTGACTTCTGTTAAACTCTGAAGTAAATATTCACCTACCTGCCCTTTTGATCAGTATTGTAAACTTGGAGTGGAGTGTCAGATCTGTTCCATGTGGTGAGTGTGTGTCTTTCTTTATGTGTGTGGTTCTGGGACTAACTGTTGTGTTCTGTGTTGTGTAGGAGGAATCTGACGAAGTTGTCCCTGATCTTCAGCCACATGCTGGCTGAAATCAAAGCTCTGTTTCCTGGGGGACAGTTTCAGGGCGACACATTCAGGATCACCAAGGCCGACGCCGCAGACTTCTGGAGGAGATTCTTTGGAGACAAGTACGTTTGGCACAACATAACACATCATACTATATACCAAGGGTTAGCAGTTATTTTTCCATGGGGCCACATGAGAAAGAGAAAATACTGTGGAGGGCCGGGTCAAAATGCTTAACTCTGTTCAGCTCTGTTCATATTAATTGTATTTCTTTATAAAAGTCAGTAAATAGCATTGTTTGACGAGCCGATAAGACTGGTAAGAGTTTATGTTATGACTAAGCAATGAAAAAGTGAGATTGCCTTATTAAAAATGTCATTAAAAAAACACCTCTAAAATAAAATCAATGCAGCTTTAGTCCATGCAAGAGGTAAAATGATAAAATATGTTTATTTTGTTATTATATGATCTTAAACGGGCCAGTCAGAGTTGACCAAGTTCCCAGTGTGCTCATCATGGGGATATAAAACAAACGAGTCAGCAGAATACAAACGGAAGTATTTAAAGCTGCACTATGTAACTTTTTTGGGGGGGTCTGTTACCTGCATGCTTCTATGAATATGTCATTGCTCTGCTTGGAATGTCCCACAGTATGACATTAAACAGCTCTACCTTACATTTTTTCAGTTACAGGTGGTTTTATAGCTCAAAAATACTGGCATTCTGGCTGTGAGCAGGGTTGCCTCTTCACAGATCTGACCGGTAACTTTGTCTGGTTTGGTCTCCATGAAGATAAAACGTTTAATACCATACTGTGGAACATTCCAGACAGAGACATGGATGAAAACAGAAAAGTTATACAGTGCACCTTTAAAGCAGTAATTATTATTGATGGAAAAATATGAATTGAGAAATGAAAAAGTTGAAGTCTTTATTGTGAATTCTCATTGGGTGATGACAGCACAATTATCAGTGAATGTATTCTCTCATAGTGAATAATTCTGGCACTGGTTTATTCACTAATGATTTCACTGTATTAAACAGAGAACTGAGAATATGAAAAATAGAGAACTACTGAGTTGCAGTCCGAGTCAGTGTGAATGATCTGACTGATCTGAATATTAACAGAATCTTGACGATGAGATCCACATACAGAAATCTCTCCATTGCATCTGAGCCATTCTTAAAATATCAGAAGGAGTTTCCATCTGCAATGTTTGAACAATAAAAGAATGAGCTTAAAGGTCCTACATTACACAAAATTGACTCTTGTGAGCTTTAAAACATGTTAATATCAAAAACATACCTGAAATTGTGTTTTGTTTCATTCACATTCTACCTTTTACCTTTTGTTCAGTAGAAATTGGCAATTCCAGGGCTGCAATCATCCACATGATTCTAGTGAATGTGTATGCAGTTTACAAACACAGTGGAGCACTTCCCGTATTACCACATCACATTATAAAGCGAAATAGAGTGTTTTCCATTTGAGGGAAGAATGAAAAACAAACTGAGCAAATAGTATTTTATAACAGCCTGATATGGGCCCTTTAAACGTAGACTGTTCATTATCTGCGTTGAGTAATTCATTCTGAGATGATGGAGCCTGCTGCTGCTGAGAACTACTAGAGGTGCATAATATCTACACTATGTATTATTTAAATTGTTTTATTTCAGATCTTTTGTTATCCTTTTTAGCGAAACGTGCATTGACAGACAGGCTCATTCTGTAGCTACGTGTGGGTACTTCCCTTGGGCTTATATCTTAAAGATGCTATCAGTTTCCTGGCGGTTGAAGCGTGGTGAGGCTGCTTCATTTGAATGACATGAAAGAGCGTCTGTGCGGCTGAGACACACACACATACATACACAAACACATATACGCATACACACATACATATACACACAAACACATACATAGATACAAGCGTGATATGTGTAATTTTGTGATTTTTCATGCTTCTTCGGGAAAATACACTTGCGTTCATGTCATGTATCGGTAGTTTTCAAGTTAACAGCTCCCTTTTACCTTTTGTTTAGTAAAAACACAGTGGAGCGACCATTTCTTGAGACTATATAACTTTTTTTTCAAGCAAAATGTTTTTATTGTTTTCAAATGATCAGATATATACATATACATACAACTGGCAGGTAACAAACTCATAGATGTCACAGATCTGCAGAGCTGGACAAAAAAAAAAAGGAAATTCAAAATGCGAGTCTTCCACCAGAACAGATCCACATGAAGAATGGCGCAAAAAAGAATATTAGACAAAAGGACAAAATGTAAAACAACCTCACCGAAAATGAAAAACCCACCCACCCTGTCACCGCAAGGGTAGAATATTTATAACAGGTGTTTTATTTATTCACATGTAACTATGCCACAGTCTGTCCTTTTAAAGAGTTGAATACAACTGTATAAAACGGCCCCTTGGTTTTTCAAATGCACTAATATTTTGTTTCAATGAAAATCGTCCTTCCACCTGAATAAAATGGCTCAGCGTGCCATAAGTAATTTAAAAGCCAAAGAATATTTTTTGTACCACTAAAATCTACATGATCCTCCAAAACACCAAAAATCTCCAATGCAGGGTTTGGTTCCAACTAATATTGAATAGTTGGGGTATCTATGTAACTTTTTTTACTGAAGGGTTTGTCACCGGCTTGTCTCTATGGAGATGATATTAATTTGCATATAATATTTCCCAAAATGACATTAACTTAAGGCTGTGCAGTTAATTGAATTTTGATTGCGATTTCAATGAATCAATCAGTGTGTGAAACGATTTCCAGACTCATAATCAATTTGAAACGATCTTAACAAAGTTTATTTTGAGATATGTTTTATATTAATTAGAATATTTATTTACTTTTTTAAATATAGAGATTGTAGAACAGCTGGATATATAGTTTATTTTGTATACACTTATGTTTTTCTGTGCCTTATTTCATGTTCAAAGTATTTTGTATTCAGTTTATGTTTTATACGTCACAAAACTCTAAGGTACGTATTTGTAGCCTGAAATTATTTTCAATTTGAAAGTTTTGCATAAATTGTGAAATTGTGTTTTGTTTTGTTTTAGTTTTTTTTTTTGAGAGAGAGAGAGAAATGCTGAATAAATGCACTGTACAACTAAAAAATAATTGTGATTTCAATATTGACTAAAATAATCGTGATAATGATTTTTTCCTTAATCGGGCAGCCCTACATTAACTGCACAATTTATACAATCACATATGTTCTATCAAAATACCGATCACATACCACACATGTACATCAAAATACCTCAGAAATCATGTGTTTGTATTAGCAGTGCTGTGTCTCTCCACTTGTCTGACCTGTAAGTTGGCATAGTAGTGTCCTTTGCTTTTCTCTGCAGAGATACTAGATAAGTTTAATCTCATACTGTGGAACTCTCCAGAGAAAACATTCACATCTCCATGGAAACAAGCAGGTGGCTGACCCTCCACCAATATAGTTAAAATGTGCACTCTTAACCATTGTCACTACTTGCTTAACCTAAACCTATTTTAACCCATATCTGACCTTTAAACCATGTTATTGATCTGAGTACATGATTTTTGTTCCTCTAAAACCTTATTTTAGTCCTGGGATAGTCCTGGTTTAGATCCGGTGGTGCTTTTGGTCACAAATTTGAGAATCAATGCCCTAAAGGAGGAGACGCATATCGATTTCAGCGCTCACAATGTGATAAATTCCCTCCTGCACATAAATACACACAAATATATATACAAAAGGACACGCCCAGGCCAGCTGCTGTCTCTTTGTCTCTGTAACATCACAGCTGAGCCCGGGTCATGATCCTGTCTGCTCCAACTTCCTCTGATGCTTTTTCCATATCACTTAATACAATGGAAGCTGCTCATTTGTGATGGATTTTAATTGGTGTATATTTTGGTCAGACACACTCAAATGAAGCTTGTCAACACTAACGCTGATTAATTAGAGGTTGTTATAACCAATTACATAGACAAAAACATAGACAAAAAATAAACACTGTCTATTTATTTTATTATTTAGATCCTCATTAGTATCGGAAGCTACTCTTCTTGGAGTTGGGATCATGTTAAAGGGCCCATATTACACTATTTTCTGATCTATGTTTTAATGGTGTTTCCTCAAAAACATACCTGGATTTGTTTTGTTTCATTCACACATGTTTGACACACAAATCCTGCATATTTAGGTAGGCCTCACTAGGACTGAGTAATATGACAAAATAAATCATCCTTCTATTGAACTCTTTTTTTACATTCAAATTTAAATTGATCTTATTAAAACATATAAAAATGTCTTTCAGTATTCATTTCTGGAACATATATTGGCCTTTTCATCAGGTCCATTTAACACCAAGTAATTCTTCCTCTTAATTCTTAACTCTGCTCTAAATCTCACGCTTTTATTGACAGAGGATTGGCTGAGAACCTGCATTAAAAAGTCCTAAGATGATCATTGACGATTACAAGTAACTGAGTCTTGGTCTTGGTTAAAGTATCATCAACTACACAAAAAATATTAAAAGTATCAATACCATGATACTAAACAATACTAAATAAAGTGTCAAAAATATACTCTTTTGAACAAGTATCATTAATGCTAAAAATACATAAAAAGGACCAAATTTGACATTTGACATGAATATGTTTTGGTTTTTTTATTTGTTAAAATTATGATTTGAACTGTACAAGGATGAATTACCGTATTTTCCGGACTATAAGTCGTTCCGGAGTATAAGTTGTAGGACCACCTAAACCATAAAACAAAGTGTGACTTATAGTTTGAAAAATACGGTGGTGGCTTCTATAGCTAAATATTGGCTCATTCTGCTGTTTATTTGTTGTTATAATGTAGTTTCCTGGAGTTGTGTTTTGTTTCATTCACACATATTTACTACTTAAACCCTACATTTTTGGGTGGAATTCTTCTATCAAACAGAAAACACTCTGTTCCACCTTGTGATGTCATATGGTAATACAGGAAGTGCTCCACTGTGTTTTTAAACTCCATACGCCTTCACTAGAATCATTTGGATAATTTCAAGCCTAGAACCCCAATCTCTGCTGAACTAAAGGTAAACATTAGCTGTTAACTTGAAAA